ATATATATATATATATATATAAAGATATATATATATATATATATATATATATATATATATATATATTATTAAATTCTAGGTTGTTATTATTCAAATTATCTAATTTTTCAACCTATTATTCACATTTTAATCATTGTTATAAAGAATACGTGTGGAATATTTCATGTTCACACCTTTTGCATCATAATTTGGATTAAAAAAAATACAAATATATATATATATATATATATATATATATATATATATATATATATATATATATATATATATATATATAGTGTCTGAATCGAACTTTTAGAGAACTCAAGAACGACGTGTGAAAGAAAGTCGTTGTAAATACACAACTAAAATTGTCAAACCGCTCTTTTTTTTTTTAACGTGTTTTTAACGTTACACTAATTTGTTTAATGATAACGGTGTAATAACGTTACAACAAAGCGAATAAAAATTGTTTCATTATCAAGATAGATATATTAGTGATGGTTTACTACGGTGAATGAAAAATTTATTAATGAGAATATATTACGTTACGAAAATATTAATAATGTTATGATTATCGTGACAAGTTCTTTCAAACAATGTCACCTTAGGTAACACTACCTAGTAGTCGTCGTGTCTTAGTTGCAAGAATTCTAATGCCTACGAGGAAATGGAAGATAATATCCAAATACATTCGATCGGAAAAAGCATTAACTTAGTGTTTCTGGTCATAAATGTATGAAAAGAGAGTAGGTTGTGACTCTCACGTTGCAGATAAGAGTAATTGTAACCGTCCCAAATCCACCGTTAGCACTTTGTCTGTTTTGGACTTTTCCTTTTGGGCTTCCCCACAGGGTTTTTAAAATCGCAAGGTTGACGGCGATAAGTAATGGGTCAATGCAGACAATATTTGTTAGCAGTGGGTTTGAGCTGTTACAAAATGGCATTCGAGCCAGAACGGGGCGGTGTGCCAGTGAGGCTTATGGAGACACATAACAAACATGTTTTAAATTCGTGAGGCTGACGACGATACGTAGCGAGTCAAAGTGGACAATATCTGCTAGCGGTGGACTTGGGCTGTTTTAGTAATGGTGACATACGAGTGTCATCTGTTGGGCCATGGCAAGGGGCGAGAGAGAGAAGTTTTAGGCTATAACTAAGGAGAATGGGTGCATCATCTAACGCACCACGAAGAGGGGACAAAAATACCAAGCTAAAAGTACAAACAATGACAAAAGTGATAGTATCGTCAATGGTGTCAGAGACAAGCTTCATTAGGGTTAGATAAGCCTTGTACCCGAAAACCCCAATTAAGCTATATAGGGTTAGACTTCGACATAATACGGAGAAATAACTTTGAATGGATACAAAGAGGGTCCATATCCCGATAATGCCGAAAGGAATGGATGTCAAGGAGGTCTCAACGATAGAGTTAACTCAATGGTCGATTTTTCAATAAATCTGACTAAGCGAGCTACCGAGGTGGATGATATTCTGATGTTCAAGGTGACATCACGAAACATTAATAAGACTCGATAATTCCTAGTTGGCATGATACTTGCTTGTGTTGCCCCGATAAGAGCTCCCGATAAGAACTCGAAAAGGATCACAGCCCATGAACGAGGATGAAAACATCCAAAAGAATTCAAAATCAATGAAACTTGTCCCTTCTTGGTAAAGTTTTGACCAACTTTGTTTAGTTTGATTATGCTGCCATATAAGGTCAAAATTGTACTATCATACAAAATTAATAAATATAATTGTTGTCAACCCCAATCATACATAGATCATAGTCAAGTTAGAGGCTCGAGTCTCTACATTCTATACTCGACCACCAAAGAAATAGAAAATGTTCGTTCAAATTAGGAATGAGAGAGGACGGGAAACGATTTCTTTCCGTCTACTGAACGTGACTCAGATGGGAATTATACTTCTCTCGAGACTTGTGCTTCCCGACCACAAAAGAAACAGAAAATCTTCATTCAAATCAGGAATGAAAGAGGGGATGAGACACGATTTCTTTCCATCTGCTGAACGTGACTGAGATGGAAATTATACTTCTCTCGAGACTTGTGCTTCCCAGCCACAAAAGAAACAGAAAATCTTCGTTCAAATCAGGAATGAGAGAGGACGGGACACAATTTCTTTCCATCTGCTGAACGTTACTGAGATAGGAATTATACTTCTCTCGATTAGCAAATTACCCATGTGTTTATAGAACCTTCCATAGATATAAACTCAAAAAACATGTGACAAAATAAATAGAAGTTAGGTTAGTTTTTTGTTTTGTTTTGTTGTTGTCAAAGTTTGGGAAAGGTCATTAATTTTATTAAAAATAAAGGTGGATTGTGTAAATATATTTATATATGTGGATATTAATTAATTAATTAATAGACGACTATTTAAGTATCCAATCTAGGAAAAGTCGAAAAAAAAACAAAAATTAGACGACAACTTTTAACGTTATTTTTTTTTATTTTTTTTATTTAAACTCTAGAAGCTTTGATGTCTCTGTGTTTATATAGCCAACCAAAATTAATTTTAATAAAGTTTCAATTATGTTATTTTAATTCTAATAATTAAATATCAATATGATATCAAATAGGGTGGAAATTTAATTTAAAGTATTTGTGCTTTACAAGAACATATATCAATAAACTAATTAGGGTCCTAAGATAAAAAATAAAAAATAAATAAAAAGTAAAATTTAAAGATTTTACTGTTATTTTCCTAAAGTTTTGAGAACTAGAAGTATTCTTTAACCGAAGGATTTGATTAATAAGAGATAATTGATAATTTGTAACAATCCGGCTTAAATTTTCACACTTTTATAAGAAATGTTTCGCTCTCCTCTCAACCATGTGGGATCATACAACCTACCCCTGACCAAGGTCCTAAATCAGGAATCCACCCCCTTTAGGAGTCAGAGCCCTAGCTAGCACGGTGATTGGCGTGGCTGGCTCTGATACAATTTGTAACAACTAAAACCCACCACTAGCATATATTGTCTATTTCAGCCCATCACGTATTATCATCAGCCTAGTTGATTATGGTCCATTACATATTATTATAGGCCTAGTTGACTACGGCCCATTACGTATTATCGTCAACATAGTTGACTACGACCCATTACGTATTATCGTCAACATAGTTGACTACGACCCATTACGTATTATCGTCAACATAGTTGACTATGACCCATTACGTATTATCGTCACCATAGTTGACTACGACCCATTACCCATTACGTATTATCGTCACCATAGTTGACTACGACCCATTACCCATTACGTACTATCGTCACCATAGTTGACTATGACCCATTACCCATTACGTACTATCGTCAGTATAGTTGACTACGACCCATTACGTACTATCGTCAGCATAGTTGATAACGACCCATTACGTACTATCGTCAGCCTAGTTGATTACGACCCATTACGTTTTATCATCAGCCTAGTTGATTACAGCCCATTACGTTTTACCATCAACCTAGTTGATTACAGCCCATTACGTTTTACCATCAGCCTAGTTGATTACAGCCCATTACGTTTTACCATCAGCCTAGTTGATTACAGCCCATT